TAAGAGTAACAGTTTGTCAAGTGGCGCCCCCTGTTGAGCAGAGCATTATAATCAATGACAGTATCAGCACACAAATCAAAGATGAAGGACTTGTCAGGCCTATACACTAATACTTACTACTCCAACATGACACAATAATGTAGTATCTTCAGACAAAAGTAAATTATCAGGCAAGGATAACACCAAACATCTTAAAGGAATACTTCACCCCACAGATGACTATTCATATATCATTTACTCTCCTCATGTTATGTCACATTTGCATCAAAGACTTTGTTTTTGGGGCATGCCTCCAGTGCAGGCAGAATCCAAATACAGAAAAAAAATATTGATGAATTAATGTCATAGGGGTCCACATTTGATAACAGAAAAACTATATCAAAGCATCTGTTTACAAACTCAAACACACACTCAAACTGGTGCAGTATAATCCAAGTCTCATTTATCCAGTTGTATGCTCAGTACTTCCCAAACGGACAGCCCTTTCTGACAGGGAACTGAACAGAAAGTGAAACTTATCTATGCTCTCTTCAAAGTCAGACTCCACTGACAGAAACAGTGATTTTACCTCGTTGAACACAGGATCTGCTGGTCTATCACTGCCACGATCGGTTGGTTTGTCTGTGTTATTGTGTGATTTAACTGTTTTAAGGGTTAATTCCAGGTGTGTTGCAGAGGGTATATGCAGGTATATGGGGTATACCCACCACTTTTTCAGGCCTATTAACCAAAAAGCCATTGGAATATATGGGAGAGTATACCCACTTCCTTCTTGGTTACCTACCCATCTATCAAGTGTACACCCACCTCATCAACTACCACTACACCACTGGTTAGTTTAAATTTAGTGCATTACACCTGCTGTGTGGCTTACCTCCACAGTTTCCCAGACACAAAAGTGTTTAATTTATTAGTGAATATACTGAGAATGTTTTATCTAGAGTATCATAACTGTATTTTTTATTATTTATTATTATATATATATTTTTTTAATCTCATGGAGAGACCAGCTGAGAAAAGCAGGTGAAAGTGTTGACTTCCACACTGTGTCACTATGTCTGATGAACATGAAACATTTATGAAAGAGACTTCAGAAACCATTAATCAATAATATCATCAGTGATTCACAGGCATATTTCACCAAAACAAAAAAAAAAAAAAAAAAGAAGAAGCCCAAAAGCAAGTTGGGATAAAATCACTTAACATAAAGTTAGACCATATTTAAGTTTTATTTCTTACATTTTTCTGCTGTACTGTATTTGTTTGTAGTATAAATAGTGAAACAGCATTAAAAAGGTGTTTGTGTCATTTTTCTATTTTGGTTCCTGGCAGCTCAAACTTCTGTTAAACTGACAAAACAATACATCAGACTTACATTTGAGTTCATGCTAAAATAAAAAGGATGTCATGCATGTGTGGTGAGGACAGTTTGAGCATGCTTAAGAAAGACAAAAATGAATTCAGAGAAAGCCTGACCATAAGATTAACCTGGATTCCTTATTTCCCACCCCATGCTTCCTTCACCAGAGATAGAATCCTGACTGTGGGACTTCCTGGAGGTATTTTATGATCATGTTATGGATAAGTGTGTCCACAGCTCTGCTGAGCTGTCACATCTCCCCATGCTCTCTCCACTGCTGCTCTCTTATTTCAATGGTGTTCCTGTGCTGAGAGGCCACTACAGTCCTGTGACAATGACACCACTGTGTTATTAAGCTTTGTGTTGTACTACATTCATCTGCCCCCCTTCATCTCCCTCTTCATCTGACCCCGTTCCCTCTCACTCACAGCCTTTTGCTGCTCGGGCAGCTTCTTGCTATAGATCCCCTCTTTCTTCCCCCCCAAGCCCCCCTCCCCTCTGCCCCTCTACACTTCTATCTTTTATTCAATGAGCCATGACTCAATTCACATTTGTCTGTTGTTTGTGTGGACGCCTACAGAGTTCCTCTCAGACAGCAGTGAGAGAAGAGCAGCGCAGGGGAGCTGGAAACTCTGCTCTGTGTGAATGTAGGCTGGGCCGGTGTTCTTGTAGTTAACCTCAAAATGTACGCAAAGAATAAATGTGAATTAAGATTACAGATAACACAAGAATAAAAGGCATGGTTGGAATTTTCATGGAGTTATTTTTAGAACCTTACACAAATAAATGAAGAATCACAAAGGTGTTTCCTTCTATTAAATGCAATAAATACACCACAACACTTAAAGTATAAAAAAAAACAAAATTAGAAATAGCAATAAATTAATTAGTGGAGGTCATGTCCTGCTATTTATTTAAAGTTTATGAGACACATAAACAAAAAAAACAACATTTTTTTTTTAGGATGGTATTAGTAATTGAAGTCATTGTAAATCCTTTTCATCTATACTTAAACTGTAAGCTAGCAACACCTTTTAAGTTTACACCTTTTTTACATGTAAGAATTGCAAATACTTAGATTTGTAGCACTGCTAGTGATGAATAATTATATAAGAACATTTGAACTGATTTGTGCTGTTGCAAAGAATACATTTCCTGAAATTATTTGGAAGCTAGCATGTGCTCATCTGTACATGTTTATGTGCTTATGTAATTTTGTAATTAAATTTTTTTTTACATTTTTAACAGGAAAATCATTGACAAAGTAAAATGACAATCAAAAACAAACAGCCAGGAAGTCTAGCAAATATTGACAGACACTAATACAGTAAAGGTAGCTATTCAGTTGCAGTGGTGAGTCAATCAGTAGTGCAACGTGTCACTTACAGGTATACCATACCACATTATTAGTGTCTTTACATGATCACATTGTTCCCTCTAGACATATATTGCTGAAACTCTCCCATTGTTCATTAACCATATATGTTTTTCCAATGTAATCTTCCCAACATCTTTTTACATGCAGAAGTTTCCATCATTTGACCTTTCCACATATTCAGTGCAGGAGTTTGAGGCTCCTTCAACACCTTAGAATCATCCAAGCACAGGTTTTAAGACTAGTTTTCAATATTCTAAATACAAATCTATTTAAATTCTGCACTACAGTGTTGTCAAGAAGGAGACATAGCCTAAGCAAACTGGGCAGTTCACATTCTAACTATTTACCAATATAATCCAGAATGTTCCTCCACAAGGGAGGGACACTAGGACATTCTCATAACACATGCATATATGTGCCATGTCCTTTTCTGAATTTCCAACATAGATTGTCTTTAAGCAGGTCCATTCTACTGAGTCTCTTTAGAGTGTGATAATACCTGTGTATTGTTTTATATTGAATACATTTACTTGTGTATTTAAAGTTTACAGTATGAGTAAATGAAACTGAATATTTTTAATATGTGCAACTGAGATCCTGCTGCAGTCAACAAAAATTCAGGAAAAAATATATCACGGAAATTGTCCAGAATTCTCATTTATCTCTTCATGGAAGCAGTCAGATATGAGCAGGGAACTGTTTGAACTGAGCTCCATCTAGTGGTAAGATAGAGCTGATCTAGTTTGTTCATTTTATCCACTAAAATAAAAGGACTCTTAAAAACCATCTCCAACTCAAGGAATACTTTTTTCAAATGTGCACCACACTTTAACTCATATAGATCAAGCTAATACAATGCAATAATTATTATGAACATACATTTTGAAAGATCTGATATGAATCATGCCCCATGGCACTTTAGTTTACTTTTAAATGAAGACTTTGTGGAATTTATTCCAAAGCAAGTAGATTTTTTCTTAGTGTAAACAAGGTGACATGATTTCTTACAGTGGTTATGAGAGGAAGATTGAGAGAAAAACTTGTTGAATCAACAAAATGTATTGCACAGCTGTACATACAATACATTTGTGCACAGTAATGAACAAGATAAATATCTGTCTTACTTACTTATGAGATGTCTAAATATCTATACTATATACACCTAGCAGCTGCTACACATTCACTTTCTACAATTATTTATTTTTATTTATTTATAACAGGCAACAACAATGAAAACAATGTGCAAACTTTAGTAGTCTAAAGTAAATAACCATCACAATCAACAAATCTTTCCACAAAACTGAAAAACACTGTTCTCTGAATTAATAAAATAATAAACCAATTAATCCATCCTCCAAACTACAAAGTAGGCCTATGTACAGTTACAATCAAGCCAAGTGGGTTCTCCTCTCCTCTCCTCTCCTCTTCTTCTCATCTCTTCTTTTTGAAACAGTCACACACAAATTATGATTGTTTTCCTAAATAATCTTTAAATATTGTTTAAGAAACCCAGAGAACAGCAACATGCAGCTCTGTAGTTCTCCTGTTCTCCTCTGCACTCTATACATAGCGCAGCCCCAAACTGCATGTCATTTTTATTTAAATTAATTATGAGACACACAACATGGGAGACATAAACTTCATTTCAGGTTGAATTTTGGTTTAAAAAGATGCGTGGAAGTTAGAAAGCAACTTGACATCTGTCTCTGCTCACACTGGGAAGTTGGTGAACCCAAACCTGGCAGAGAGCTGGAGGGAGACTGTATGATTTTATGCCAGACTAGCTTACTTGTTGTTAATGGTGGGTTATTGCTTCTTTAATTAGTCTAGCTCTTTCAAGATGTTTTAATAGTGGTTTAATTTCACAACAGTGACAAACAATGATAAGGCTTAATGCAAACACTATTGTTACCTAGCTGTCCATGACGGCAGATGAGAGAAATGTGATAACACTCTGCAGGGCGCACAATTTGCATGCGGCTGCCACATGGGAAGTTGAAGAGAGAGGGGCAGGGGCTCGACTTAAGCGCAGCTGTCAGGCAACCAACACACTTTTAACTAAGAATTGATGCCATGGGCTAAATTTAAAAACCAAAATATAAAATTACTAAAAGAGCTGAGGGCAGTAAAAACATAGTTTGGGCCTTTAAAGATAAAATGTTATTTTTCTGCTATTACTGTTACATATCAGGCCTTTATCATTATCCATTATAGTACTGGATACTGACAGTAGATCTTCACAGTAAAAATGAAACACGCCGCTATGATTAATGTTTTTATTTGAAGTATCATTCACTCTTGGGTTCTCTGCCAGCAAGAATTTAAAAGAAGACAAAATAACATTTCAAAAGTGACTTCAAATGAAAAATAAAACTTCATGTACAACAATTTTCACTTTTTAGACAAATTATACAAATATGGACAACAAAAGACACACATACTCAACACTCTGTAAACCCATATGTGCAAGTACCTACTGCATATACAGGCCAACTCACCATGTTGTTTTTATTGGGATTAAGCTTAAAATGCATTTTCCAACACTATACTATTATTATGCAGAGCTCTATACATCAATAAATGCATGCATCCCAGTTTATTGTACACATGGAAAATGATAAAAATAAAACCAAATAAACTATACGTCCTTCACTGAAACTCACTGGTCACTTTGCCTGTTTTACATACAATAACCTTCAACATAGAACACTGTCTCAAAGTATATCAGGACAAAAGAGCAGCATTGGCACATTTCACATTGCTGCTGTTGATTTAAAAAAAAATATTTTCAAGGCTCCAGTAATGCTGTATTGCAGCCCAGTCTCCAGAAGAAATTATTGGCATTGTAAGTTTCTGCAAACCATGTTTACGTTACATTTGCATGTTTCATATGTATCTATCAATGTTTCTGAAGTATGAGCTGACTTTGTCATCAGGAGATGGAGGGGATGGTGGATGGTGTGTCAACTAGATGAGGTGCCTGCCAAGCTGCAGACCATTGAAGATGAGACCTACAAACAACAAAACTGGCTGTGAAGTCAAGTCATTGCTGTTTCCAGCATCTTTATAGACACCAAAAGTGAGTTTTTTTAGTGACCTATTGCAGCTGGGGGTAGCTGTACAAAAAAACGTTGTTTTTTACAGAGACATTGTTGCCCAGGATTATGCCCCCAAAACAAGGTATTCTAAGCCAAAACATAATATTTTCCTAACTATAACCAATGTACCTGCTACATAATAATGAACAAATGTAACATATCCATGGTTTGCAGAAATGTACAATGCTAACATTTCATTTTTACTGGTGATTAGATTGAGTATTGCACTTCCATACAGCTGGAGAGATGTCCTGACTCTAGTCAAAATTTCAAAAAGGCTAAATTCTACATTTCCCATAATGCAATAGCATCTTCTGCAGACCAAGCCTGCCTTGCAAATGCCCACATCTTTTCATAATCCACACCGTCACTAACGCAGGCTACTTATTTAAGATTTGTCATCTCCAAGCCCAAACTGAGTTCTATTTTCTTAGACTTGACAAAGCTCCTGCAGAGCTGTGCAAGACGTAAGACAACTAGGGATGCACAATATTGGATTTTTTGCCAATATCCGATATACTGATATATAAGAACTTATTTGGCTGATGACCAATACCGATATCGATATATCCACTTTTTTCCCTTCCTAATTTTAGTGATCATCAAGTCTCTTCTGTAGTGGAATTTAAGTCATATCCTACATGCACCCTGATGGCCCACCAGCAGATGGAGACATGAAATAGAATGCTTTTTAATATATGTAATATTCAGTCATTTTGCAAAAAAAGGAAAAGCCTGTTGGCCGATTCTGATCATTCATTTTGAAGCCAATACTTTCCAGTACCAATGACGTGCCGATATAAACGTGCCTCCCTAAAGACAACTGTTCAGTAGCACTCCTAAAGGTGAGTAAACTAAACTTGATGCGTAAAACTGGATTCCTGGACTCCATCATTACCAGCAAGCCAGGGCTTGAAAACAAAAGTTGTATGATTCACATTTAGCTCAGTTATTGGACAGAGGCTTGTACTAAATAGAGGATGCAATGAGCATAAGTGCAACAATCCCACAGCTCTATACAGTGTGGAAGTACCTTGTTTTCTGTCACTGTCTGAAGGACTTTTGAACCGACAGCAGCAAGTGGCCACAAGTATCACTTCCTACTTCACTAAATCTCCAGGGAAATCACAAATAATTCATTTTCCCACACAGCCTGCACAGTGACTGATAGTGGCAACACTGAAAAAGCAATTAAGCAATCACAATGCTTTCCTAACAATGATAATATCAAAATACAGGTGATTCTGTAGTACAGCAAATACACTGCAAGACAGTAATATGATACATCAAGATTAACTATAGACCTACAATAGCAAATCATTTTTCAGAAAGAATTAAACATCAGACACTGTATTTATTCACTGCATTATTAAGTGCTGCTTTGATAATTATAGACATCTCAGGTCAAACAGCCCGCTAGGCAGTTCAGCTCTGGCCTTTTACACATGTTTACATGTGTAATCATACAAATGTCTTTAGAAACAGCCATATACTGGCAAAAGGCTGAACCGGCAAAAAGCACAAGAGAGTTTCAAGTGTCTGCAGTGAGGAAAGGAAACTGCTGCAAAGTCATGAAAAATACAGATGGCACTTCACTTCACACACAGCAAAAAACAATAATAAATGCATTAGCCATATGTTCACCTTAGAATAGCAATCATTGATAACAGTGCTTTGATAATAAATAACCAACAAAATTACCTTTATCTACTGTAAAGAAACCTGGTTTTCATTAAGTGCATAATATACTGTAATAGTAGAATTGGCTTTGTTTCACACTTTACACAAGTACTTTAACGAATTATTTAATTGACCCACGCCCAGTCCTTACATTGTTTTATAAGTCCAGTGTTACCAAATATTTTCCACTTTGAATTCCATTGTAGTATTGAACACTGAATATTAATAACTTTTTAAACCAGCACATGCTTCGTCAGAGGAAACCCTGTCTCAAAAAAATGACATTTATATACTACATTTTTTTGCCAAATACTGTGAATGCATTAGTGAACAGGACAACCTGGCACATAAGCACATAAGCCTCTGTTTGATGGGATTGTTTCTGCATTTCTCATTCACATGTCAAATGGCTCAATTGAAAGTAGGGATGCACTGATTATGTTGGTCCTGATTCCGGTCCTTTAATATTAAAGGGATAATTCAGACCTTTTGAAGTGGGGTTGTATCAGGTACATATTTATAGTCAGTGTATTACCTACAGTAGATGTCATTCGACACACCTCCTGTTTGGAGAAGCAGGCTGGAATTTGACACGGAAGCGAGGCGATGTACTGCTGTGGAGGGGCCAGCAACAAAACATAGCCTATTTTAGCTTAGCTTTCGTGCTGGACTCCAGCCTGCATCTCCAAACTGGGCTGTGCCGACTGACTCCTGCTGTATGTGATAAACTGACTATGGATAAATATCCCGTACAACGCCAGTTCAAAAAATTTGAACTATCCCTTTAAGAATCTGTTGATTCACTCTCAGGTCTTATAATTTATTTCTCTTATTTTCTCTTTATACAGATGTACAGTGCATACTTTGCCATCAACTGTCAACTTTGTTGTTACTTTGTTCAAGTCCCTGAGGTGCTGCTTTTTTGTAATGCAGGACTTTGACACCAGAGATTAAGGTTTGTTGCGTCCCACATAAGGTTAAGATTGGGTTTCTACAACACTTTTTGAAGTTTTGGTCGATTAATCAAAAAGAAAACACGTAACAAAACAAGATTCCTCTAACCTTTGACTAAGTGCTGTGTGTTGCCTAAACAAAAGCATAGAACACTAATCAGGCCATCTTTGCTATGAGCGGATATTGTAAGAAAATAAAAGACACACGTCACATTTTGTGGATGTTTTGAAACTGTGTTCAGTATGAACATTTTGCAACTTTGCAGAAACAAACACCTTTTCTTATTTTGTTGATTTAAAAAAAAGGTGTTTATACAGCATTATGTTTCTTTTGAAACATGAATACTGTTGCAAACCTGTATTATAATAAAAAGGTAATTTCTATGAGACAGGGTTGTCAGGTGATACCTTAGACATCTAAATCTTTTTATTTTTATTATTTATTATTTTATTAGGCTTCATCAAAGAATCATTTTGTGATTCTTTTTCCTGATCACATGACTGCAAATTACAATAACAGATGTGGACATTTTCAGTCCAGTTTTAGATAACTGGTAATGCTTATGACTGACGCAGTTTGTGTCTGATCGATCACTCCATTTCCAATTGTGGCACTACTAGATGCTTCCACCCAGACTGAAGGGGGTGAACTTCTGGGCCTGCTGAGCTGCAATCTCTGCCACATATAGGGCCCCTGTCTTCAGGTCCAGGTCCACCAGGTGGGGCTTCACTTCATCAGCCAGCTGGATCACACTGACCACTCTGCACTGGCCAATCAAACCCACCGGTGGGGCATCCAGCATTGAGATCTGGTGGGTGTTAAGCTGGACAACAACAAAGTACTTCTTGTCCGGGGTCAAGCGAACTGAGTAGGGTGCATCCTCTGTGAAGCAGCTCCCCCATGTCCCCAACCAGTCTCCGGTGATGGAGTTAAAAACTTGGATCCTCTTATTCCCCCTGTCGGCCACCCAGACCCTCTGGGCGCTGTCTACGGTCACGCTGTGGGGGATGTAGAACTGAGCCGGGCGTTGTCCTTTTTCTCCATGCATCCACACTACCTCCTGATCTTTAGACAGCTTAATGAGGCGGTTATTCATCCCGCCATCACCATCCACGATGTACATCTCTCCTGAGTCATGGACAAAGATCTCAGCCGGCTGGTCAAACTGCAGAGGGTTCAACCCAGTACCTGCCTTCCCTGGCGTACCAAGCACCTGACAAATAAAAGAAAATATTCATTTTTATTTGCAACATTTGGCTTTTCCAATTCTACAGTTCACACTAAATAGTCTGATGGAAAACACCCTAGTGAAACCTAAAACAAGTGTACCAAAACAAATCCTGGATAAAACAGTCACCTGCAGGAGCTTCCCAGATGATGAGTACTGTTTGATGCAGTGGCCGTATGGGCCGCTCCCCACATCTGTGATCCACACTGTAGGGTTTGACGAAGCAGCATCTGCCAAAAACATGCCATGAGGCATCTCCAGCGTGGTTGTATTCCAGGACATGAGGAAATCTCCATCTGTGGTGAACACCAGCACCTTGGGCACATTGTTGCCTAACAGCAAAGCAGAGGCAAACACCATGTGACATGTTAACAGGGTGCACATTTTATACTGATTAGATTTTCACTTGTTCAAAGGAAAGTACTGTAAGGGGAATCAAACAAATAAGATATAAGTAATAATACTATTCAGTAAATTAAGGGTTGTAAAGATACAGTACCAAGAGGCAACTGTTTGACAACCATTTAATACTTTATAGTGGGCAAATCTCTGCTTCAAATTCAGGCCGACTTTATTTTTATAATATAAGTCAACATTAAAGCTCAAACAAACCAAACATTAGGGCTGGGTATTGGCACTCGATACCTTCAAGGTACTGACTGAAATAACACAGTACCAAGTAGTATCCAAGCTTCCCCAGTCAGACATATTTGACGAAGTTGTCAGTTCAACATACTAAGATGCCGCCAGTATGTTTGAAAGTATGGCTAAACTACATGCTTGTGGCCTCTTGGTATTACACTACTGAATGCCTCCATTCACATGATGGCTATCGAATAAAGCAGGATAAAGGTACTGAGCCAGTTACTCTATTATTACCAGTATAACTTTAAGAGTACTGGTATTGGCACTGGTATCGTAATTTTTTAAAGGATATCCAACCCTACCAAACATGCACCAAAGCAATGTTGGAACAACTGTCTTACGATGCATCCTTTATCTGTCTTTATTGTATACGTTTTTTATGTACAATTTACAAACGCTTTATAGATCAACTACAAGCCATTCATGAAAATAAATTTGTGATTCCTTTATGGAATTCTAATTTTTGAATGAAACAGGCTGGCAACCTTTACTCTCAAAATCTTGGTGGGAAATGTGTGCGTATCCCTAATGAGATGGACCACAAATATTATCCCTGCACAATGTAATCTGTGGCATTTTATTTGCTCACTGTCATCCAGCCTTGGGAGAATATTTCTCTGACCTCTTTATGTTACTGCCATTTTCTCCTCCACTTAAGAAACTCTTAAGCCTCTTAAAATATCTCCTCTCTACTCCTCTAACAGTTTTTCACCTTAGGAGGTTTAAGATGCTCTGTGAATAACTTTTATCTTTACAAGGACCTACTGTCAACTTTAAGGGGAAATTCTAAGAAAACAACAGTGTAACAATATACTACAAAGTGCGACTGAAATAACTCATAACAAAAGTAATGCTGACACTGCATTTTCATAGCATGCTGCACTATTAACCAGTACCACAACAGAATGAATTTTATATATTTCTGTCCTGCCATGTTGTATTATCTATAGCTTGTCTATAACTTTCTGTTACCAAATTAGCTTGGAGAAAAGTATTGCTTATTTTTAAGTCAAAGGGCTTTTGACCAAGTGAAGTCACAAGTCATTTGTGTTAAATGTAGAGGATAAGCCAACGCTTTAAGCCACTGAGATGCTGCACCTGGGATGACTTAATTGATGCACTGATCATTGCCATGTCTGATGAATGAAAGTCTGAGTCAAACCTACCAGTTAAACACTCGTCCATTTATTTTCCATCACAAACTTGTCAGTGTCCATTACACTAGAAAATGTTTCCAAAAATACTCAAAAACAAACACACATGTATCTCCTGCAGCAACGAGCTGCTTCAGTGGTCAAAACAGTTTTTCCTTCCGGGTGGATCACCTGACCACACAGAGAAAGGTTCCTACCATATATATTAATGACTGCTAATTACCCTGTGAGACCTGATACTCAACACAACATACCCACCATACAAAAAAAGAAAAAATTCATGCATATTCTGCTCCTACATCAAAGTTGAGTTGCAATTCTTTTTGATTTTGTTGAGTCGCATCGACTCATCAGATTTGTGACTCCAGTCTGACTTGAGTCTATGTCATGTTGCTCAAGTCCACACCTCTGGCATAGGCTACAAATTTTCACAATCAGAGAATGTAAGAATCACTTCAGGCCTTCAAACAATTACAAATGAAAGTTAAAATAAAATAACCATTAATTATTTCATCTATTTTTTTGCCACAGCCACAGGAAGCCGCTAGAGAGGCTAATGAGGGAACCTCCAGTTGCCTACCCCTATAATGAGGCATCGAGTCTGCAGTTAAAAATGGTAAGTTTGGGGTGTTCTGCTGCTTCTCCAAACTGGGGGCATGCCGACTGACATCTATTGTAGGTAATACACTGACTACTGACAAGGATCTCATACGACCCCACTTCAGAAGATTCAAACTATCCCTTTAAAGTTTTTTTAAGGAGTTTTTCTTTATCTAATTCGAGGGTCTAAAGACCAGGATCCATTTAAATATGCCAACCAAACCTACCTGTCTGATGAGGATACAGTCAACGCAGCACCCAACCACACCCTGCAACACCTGGAATCCTCTTATCTCCAGCCTTATCCTGTTTACAGACTTTAGTTCCGGCTTTAATTCCATCCTACTCCAGCACTTCGCCACATTGGTAAATATGAACATTGATGCCACTAGCATATTCCTGTGGAACAGACATTAGAGGGGGAATGTTGATAACCTAACCTCATGCCCTCTTGCCCTCAGCACAGGAGCTCCTAAATTCCTGAATCCCCAGACTGCACAACAGAAAATATTTTAAAATAAAACTGGACAGCAGTGCGTGGTTGCCTATCATAGCACTGCAATTATACATGAATTTAATATTGGGGGGCTGTGCCCCCCTCAATATATGCTTTAAAAAATAACGTAATGATTATCATCAACGCTCTAAGGTAATGCATAGAGTAAGGGGGTAATGCATGTATTTACCTCTCTGTGCCACATACACCACAGCAGAATACTGGTTAACAGCCACTGCAAACACGTCCCCGGTGAACACCTCTGGGTTCTTGGGCCAGCCCAAGTCCAGTCTGTACAGAGGTCTGCCCAGCAGCTGGTAGTCATGTTTGAGGCTGGAGGTGACGGGAGGCTGGGTGCCAATGGTGCCGTACAGCACCATCATGAGCACGGCTAATAAAGCCATGCTGGACACTATCAAACACGTATGGTTTCTCTTTTTCATCAGCATCAGTTCTTCATCTGCTGCCTTGTGTTGCGTTTTATTTCCTGGTCCAGTGACGTTAGGTCGAAATCGCACTAAATGTTTTTAACAGCGCTTGAAAGAGCACTAGGCTAACTGAGGTCATCTACCATAAAGCACGCAGTCTGCTCCGAAACATGCACAGCTTTAATGTGATACTTGCCGCGATGCTACAAAGTTAGAAATCCGGTGATCTATCATTTCAAGTCCGCATTTGATGTAAAATTCACTTCCTCAATTCCTCAACGAAAACAAACGAAAGGAAAGTAAATAATGCAGCATTTCCGTTCAAAGTGTCACAATAAAAGCATGACTAAGGGACTGTTCTTTACTTGTCAGAGGAGAATGGCCTGTAGTGTGACTTCGCTTTGTTGTTGTTGTTGTTGTTGTTGTTGTTATTTTTAAGCTTGACCCTCCCCGAAGCTACAATTTTTTTCCTTAGCCTCCATGGGTGGCTGGGGAAAAATGCATTTTTAT